GCACGAACGGCAATGCGTCTCTTTCGAAAGCTCTGCCTCCAGCACGCGGCCCTCCTTGCCTCTCGCCGTGCTTCTTTGAAGTTCTGCTGTGAGTGTGCACGCTCAAGGATGTAGTCATGGTGATGTATACACTGAGGAAAGAAAAAGCAATGAAGCAGACTTATGCGCAATTAGAATACAAGGACGCTATGTGCTTAAAAACATGTATGCCGAAACTTCAAGAGGCAGCGTAATTGCATTCACCCAGGTGTAGACTCTGAAACCTCAGGTTTATGCGAAAGAGTTAGGCAGATAAACGACAGGGCTAATTTTGTTTTGTTTATCGATTAGATAACCTTTGCGTCGATTCAACAGATTTTATCAAACAACTTTGGCGTTTGCCTTTTTTTTTTTTTTTGCAAAATTGCAGAGAGTAAGCAAATTGGAGAAGGAAAGGAATAATAATTTTAGTTCTTAATTTCTAAGCAAGGTGGCGCAAGCTACCGCCCGTCACAAAGGGATGGTGTCATCCATCCATGGGCGCGAAGCGTGTGATTGGATCGGATGGAGTCCTCGCCGAGCGCAGATGATGCACCGGTTTTGGATAGGAGCCGAGTGAAGTTCACGCGAAACTCTGACTCAGACTTTTGTGTCCAACCCGTGCTCACAGTACGAGCCCAAACACGTCCCCTTCTCCATCGCCTTGATCACTGACATCGGCTGCTTCAAATCTGCCATTTGCAAACATTTTTTGTAACCCGGCTGCTGTGCTTATGTTGATTTTGTGTGTGTGTGTGTTTGCTTCATTTACTTTTTTTTTTTTTTTTTCTGTAATGCCTCGGCCTCGAGAGTAAATAGATAAATAAATGAAAATAAATGGCGGAACCGGATCATTGGCGCCGCGGCTACCAGATGGCGCGCACGGTTTTGAAAAAAAGGCCTATTGGGTCGCCGAACCTTTAGAGGAAGTTACAGAGTATAGCGGCTATTTCAGTTGGAACATTCTGCCCTGGAATGCAAAACATTCCGATACGTGTGTTTCTTTCTCTTTTTTTTCTTTTTTTGTCATAAAAACGGAACCGCTGACGTCTCGCTAACGTGTATACCGCTCTATTTTGAACGTTACGTTTTCTGGACTTCTCTTCTGCTGGCTCTACAGCAAAGGGAGGGGAAGATATGAAGCAGATGGCTAAGGGGAAATGACATAAAGAAAGAACTTTTTTATATTTCTTTTTAAGACAGTGGCTAGGCGGAAGGGCGATCGATCGTTTCCAGATGCTCACACGTTTTCGGAACGTCTTGAAATTCCAAAGTCGTACCTTTAGAGCTTTTCCGGTCAGGCTTGGCGGCGTTCTAGTGCCGATACTGGATTAATCCCTATTTCTAGAGACGCTTTTTTTATTATTATTAAATCAAATCAATGCATTACCTTCATAATCCTGGAGGAGGTGATCGAGAAAAAAAAAAAAAGAAACCTCCACAGGGTAGATTGACAAGTCTCTGCATACTATGAAATATGACAGCCTTGCGAGCACATGAATTGATCAAAGTTGCACAAAATCAGGCACATAAAAAATGCAGCGCAGTGAAAGTCCTACACATCCAAGCCTCAAACAATCTCAAACGCAATCGGGGCGTAAATAATGATAATAATAATAATATAACCGATACACGGAGTGCATTAAAACATGCATCATACAAAAGACAGTCTGCAAACACTAGTCACCGTAATATCCGAGGTTCGAATGCCGCGTGCCCCAGTTTCTCCTTGAACTCATTGCCTTGCGGCATTCGAAGTACGAATCTCGCGGTCCCTCGCGTTCGAATATGTTTGCAGACTATCTGTTGTATGATATATAAGCGATGTGACCCCGGCTTTAAGGTGGTGCATTTATCATACTAATTTTTTACGTAGGTTACAAAAAAAAATGTGCCTAAAAACATTTTTTTTTTTTTACGCACAGAGAGGAAAAGGGTAAAAAACATTCTGGTTGACACTGTTACTCAGAGATGGCACAACACAAAGCAAAAATATGAAAAAAGGTCCTTTGAGATGAAGACCCGAAATCGGATCCAGCAGATCCGAGCGCGTATAGTATCATCCCTGAGTAACATCGTCAACCAGGCTGATTTTTTCCATTTCCTTTCATTTATTTCTCCTTAATGGCCCCTTGGGAATTACATGAAAAAAAAAGGGGGGGGGGGGGGGGGGGGGGTAATACACAACATTTTGACACAAGTATAGAAAAAAAAGAAAAAGAAATCGAAGTCAAATCCGTAGTCACAGTAATGCATTCCCTCTTGTTCAAATTTATTGGATATGTGGAGTCACTGATTGGTGAAAAGTGGATGGGTGAGTAATAAAGATTATTTCTTCAGGAAGACAGTTCCAGATGTTTATAGCATGAGGAAAGAATGACGTATTAAAGGCTAGCGTTTTGCTTGTTATCCGTTTGATGTAACGGCTGTGATTGAGGCGTGACGAGATTCTGGCAGGAGGTGATATCAGGGAGTTAGATAAGTTGGTGCCGATATGGTAAAATTTATGTGCGCGATATAATCGAGAGACCATTCTGCGGCCAGAGAGCAGTGGAAACTCGAGAGTAAGTTTAAGCTGCGTTCCACTGGTATCGCGGGAGTATGCTGATGAAATGAACCGGACTGGATGAGTTCGAATTCCTTCCAGACTGTCGGCGAGACAAGCTTGTGAAGGACACCAGATGGACGAGGCATATTCGAGGTTGGGGCGGACGAATGTCGTCTTCGCTAGTTGCTTTAGGTGAGAAGGTGCTGATTTTAGATTCCGGTAGCCGAGAGTCAGTGAAGCATCAGCAGAGATGATGTCGATACGTTGAATCCAGGGAAGTGTGGAAGCCATGAGATGAATAAGGAGGCACTTGTATGACGAAGTAGAGTCAACTGAAACGCCATCAAGTGAGTTTGAGTAAGAAAGAGTAGATCTTTTTTTTCCGCGTAAATGATACTAGTTTGCACTTCTCGTAGTTAAGAGACAAACCATTGATCGCACCAAGCGTTGATTCGTGTTAGATCCCTCTGCAGGGTGATATAACCTGAGAAGTTGCGACTGGACGGTAAACGACGCAATCGTCTGCGAAGAGCCTAATTTTGGAATCGATGTTATGCGAAGATCATTTATGTAATATGAGAAATAGGAGTGGGGAGAGTCCTGCTCTCTGGGAAACGCCTGATGTTACGTTATGATGATAACATCGCTAGCAACGTTATTATGATGACATTGCTAATATTTAATTGATGATTGTTAGCAATGGTGAACTGAACTCCCGACGTAAGAAAATCCCGAATCCAAGAAATTGTGGCTTTGTCAATACCGAACACTGAAAGCTTAGAGAGGAGGCGATTATAAGGAACTCGGTCGAACGCCTTGGAAAAGTCAAGGAATATGGCGTCTGTTTGATCATTGTTATTCATATTAATATGTAGGTCATGAGGGAATTAGCAAGCTGGGTTTCTCAAGAATGATTTTTTTAGGAAACCACGGAGTCACTTTTTGATCCAGTGCAAAAAAAAAAAAAAAGCTTTTTCTTCTTGTAAATTACATTATTAAAACTTGAATATATTACATGCACCGCCTAAAGACACCTTTGTGATACGTTTGAATGCATTCTTTCATTAACTTAATTACACGTTTTCCTTTTTTTTTTTTTTACGCCCGAGAGCGCTCGAGAACGCCCTGTATATCTATATACTCGCTGACACCTTAAGAAACGCAGGGCGTGGCGATTCCCGAGCATCTCATTACCGTTTGGCAGCCAATCAGATCGCGGCATTAGCCGATGGGACCGCGGAAGAACTAATCAGGAAGCAAGTGGCGTAAATTAACATAATGAGTCACGCCCTGCGCTCCTTACAACGTTCGGAAGTAGAATTCACAACATCCTGGGGTACTTTTGAAATTTATTCTCAATGACCTGTTGTCTTGTCGGACCCTTTCAATTACTAACAAGTTCGATGATCGTAGATGGAACAGTGTAATTAAGCATTGCCAATTTGTAATTTGTTACGGCATGCGGCACTCTCTAAGAGCCTGGACTAAGCATATGATAATAAATAGGGTTTCGAATCAGTAATGCACAATCGATTATTAATCTGTTATGATGATAAGTAGTATTTTCGCATGTCTGAATTAATTCGTGCGTATAAAATCAACCAAACAGATCGTCTTATATCTTTAAAGAAAATCCAGACATCTTATTTTTTATGTTCCGATCTGGACGATGCTATCATGCTGTTGTTCACGAATTAGCATTCGCTTGTACTACAAACAACAGCCTTACATCTTATTTACTAATTTTTTAGTGTGTATACTTACGCAAATGTGGCGTAACTATGTTGGACACCTTTTAATTTTGAAAAAAAAAAGTAATGCAATTTAATTAATTGTGCACTTTTGTTTTGGAACTTGTTAATACCAGTTAATTCAGAATGGCATGCACTGCCGTACGGACTGTCGTACGTCGTACGGCAGTTAGGTTCACTCCACACTACCGTGGACGTTCGGAAACACAGACCAAGAAAAAAAGAATTGGTGAAACATTATTAGCTATTAACTAAGCCAGAAATAAAGACCAGCTTGCCATTAACGTCTTGCGAACGCAACGCCAAGTGCCCAACGGTTAGCAAAAGTATATCATTGCTTCAAACAAAAATTATATCGGGTAGTCCTGTATTGATTCAGGTTTCCAAGGCGATCTAAGTAAAAAAAAAAGACTTGTAGCGCTCAGTGACGCCTCGACGCGAAACTTTCCGAAAATTCGAATTCATTCGCCTGCGAAAGAGTTACATCGCTCGCGCGAATGTGACTTGCGCGATCGCGGGCAACATTACCTATTGTAAAATCTGGCAATTTCAGCCCCTTGGGTGAGCGAGCGAGCAAGCGCGCGTTCGCACGAAAAGCGCTCGCGCGAATGCGGGCAACGAACGCTCTGCGCCGGCGCCGGAGGAAAGATGCCCACCAAAACCACGTGGTTCTTCTCCATCCTCCTCATCGTCTCTCCAACTCCCCGCGCTCCGCCTCACTCCATTCTCCTTCGGCACGAGCCAACCACTCGCTACTCTAACGTTGCGCCGGGAACGCGCGCTCTCCTTTCAAGCGTCTGCGTCTTGCCAGTCCCACGGGTTGAACTGTACCCCTCGTACCTGAGGACATAGAGTTTACCTTAGGTCCTCGCAAGTTGGCCGACAACCAACGTAATCATATTTAAGCTTCTCGTATCGGCGTTCATCCTTCAAGAGCTCCGAAGATTCCGACGTGGTTATCATCCTGCGTCTTCGAGACACGACACGTCTTCGATCTGTGGTTCTTGAGGACATCGTGCACAACGCTGCTACCAAGGACTGGCTGGGACAAGGATCATCGGGTTGGATTCAACTCTGCTCTGATTTCTTCGAAGCACCAGGAAGGCACTGCCGGGGCGCACGCAACCAGACGTCAGTCATCCGGTTTTGTCATCTACTATTCTGGCTTTCTTCATGTCGTTCTGTACGGGACTGATGTGGAAGTCGGAGGTGAGCTGAACGAAGATCGTCTTTGGGTGCAAAACCTGTGCCCGGCGCGCTCAGCGGGGTTTCACTCGGTGACCTTGAAAGAAGCTGTTTTGAAGATCGATACTCAAGCTCCTGGAATAAGTGTGATCGCGTGCCAGTCTCTCACCAGCTGCCTCAGGTCTCGTGGTACCCCGCAGCTGGCTCTAGTCTGCACTGTTCAGTGTTGACAGCCTCTTTGCAAAGTCATGTTAAAGGACCTGGTGTGAACGGACGCACCTAATCAAGCTTCGTGTTTTAGAAGCAGCTCTGGAGAAGGCACCAACTCTGGTCGCTGAGCGAAGTTCGCCCTTGGATACCTGAAGACATTGTCGGAAAAATATTGACACGTCAAAACAAATAATCATTTCTGCTTCGGTATCTTTGTCTTCAAGCTTCAGCTCTTCAAGCGCTGTCCACCGGATCCGTTCCGATGATAATGAAAATGACTCAGTTGTCTTCATTGAAGATTGTCGTCCTCGGCAGCAAGCAAGTCGGAAAATCAGGTAAGAGTTGTTTTGCCTTTACATGAACACCATGCCCGTGTTTGTACATTTTGCTTGCATGATTGATCATAGTATGCATATCAGACTTTAGGAGTATACGTCTCCCAGTATACGTTGTGATGAAATTCACCTCTTAGCCACAATTAGCGCGTACGTGGTCCCGTGAGATAAAGTTATAAAATTTCCGTAAAATGATTGTCCCTCGGATAGTGCTTTTCTATGTATTCATTGTGGCCAAGATATCTAGGCAGACATTCAAACTTCAGTAATGTCTGGACGTCCTCAGTAATATGTAGCCGTAAATTTGATTATACGGATAATTTATCTGATAGCCGAATTTCAGTCATTTAAAGCGGCAATAGCGTGAGACCCAGCCACTTATACGCGAGTTACCAAACAGGGGTCATATCGGGTCTTCTATATACAAAGGCCGTAGCATTAATTCTGTGAGGTATTTCCGTGCAACGCGGTGTGACAAGTCTATGATAAAAATAAGGTCCCGCTGAAGGGCATATACTGAACAATATGTTCTTCAACTTGATCAAATTATGAACCATATTGAATTATTAAAAGTTGCGTTATAAATTATTTTCAAACGATGCTTCACTGAGTACCACCATACACTCGTTTGCGCGCCCATGTGAGAGTAAATTATTTCGAACATTTCATGTATCTCCACAAACGTAGAATAAATTCTTAATAAACAGATTCTAAGCACTATAATCCGCAAAAAAAAAAATGAAGCGCCACACTAGTTCATAAAAGCGCGAGGCAAAAAAAAAAAAAAAATAGTGGGCAAAACCGAGTCGTGCAGAACAATCGCCTCCTTGTGGCCTCTTTTCTTCTCGTCCCTTTTCCGAAATACCCCAGTCTCGGGTTAAACAAAACTATGGTCAATTCACCTTCGCTGTTAATATTGACACCAAAATAGATGCAGACTTCTTTCCGCTTTCAAACTTCGTGAGAGACACATTGTTTGAAAAAAAAAATACAATGGAAAATCAGTAAAGCACACAAAGTACAAATCATAAAAAAAAGAAAAATGAGGGTCGAGAAAGAAAAAAAAAAAAATGTGTATACGGGACACGTAGGAATGCCTGGGCGACACGGGCCAGGAACGCGCCAAATCTAGAGAGGCCAGGTTTAAGAGAGGAAGCAACTCAAACCATGGAGGGCCCATGCAACTTAATGACGGCAGACGCCTCCTGGACAAATTTGTCGCAAGTCGTTGTCGCGTGTCGAGTAGGAACGCGAGTGGGCAAGGCGGAGGCACTTGCAGACGATCAAAACTTTCGTCACCTCCTCGCTTCTCCTATTGCTTAAACTAGACCCATAAGTCACGTGACCCTGATCTAGCAGTAGGCAACACTCTGAAGTCTAGGCGCACTATCCGAATCCTCAGGACGGAAGACACCCTGCACCCTAAGAAGGGTCTATTTCTTGTCGCGAGGGATGCGAGGACGGTGTACGCTTTTAGAGCGACTGTGTCTGTTACCTCTTCGCCAGGAGTGCTGTTCCAACATGATTTATGTGTCTGGTTAGGAATATTTAGTGGTGTTCTTAGATTGCTTGCGTTAAGGGGGAGCGTATGTATAAATTGCGCAGTTCCACGGTGTGATAACCAAAGATGTGTCTGATATGTTCTAAGAACCACCACTCTTTTTTTCTTCCTGAACGCACTATTTAAAAACGTTTGTGAGTTTACTGTCTTGTAGAAGACGTCGAATCACGGCTAACAATGCAAGGATCCCTGCGAATAAATAATATAGGAATACGATTAGACAAAAAAAAAAAAGCGATGTGGGTTATGACATTGAGCTTGTCGTTTCATTTGCTCTTTGTCCTTTCGTACATAGGATTTTTAAGAATTAATTTTATTATAAGTCTCGTCACTTGCTGGAATCCTTTCATTGTTTGCCGTGATTTGTTTGTCTCTGTGTTCTGCAGCAAAGTAAACTCACAAATCTTTTTCTTGTAGAGTGCAGGTTGAAAAATATTCAGCTTTTGTTTTTAACCGTCGTGTCGCAATTGCTAAGAAAACATTTTATATTAAGTTATATTACTCTTTTTTTACTAGGAATCAGAGTTTTCCATTTTAAATGAAGCACGAAAAGGGCGATACATCTACGTGAGCTCAGTCAATTTAACTGATTTTGAACTTTAGCAGGGTTCGAGTCATTACTCAAATTTGTACGTTCCCGCAGGAAATGAATTGGGCTCGACGCTAATCAAGTCGTTTTTGAACTTTGTATACGATGATGGCGATCTATCGTTTACACGTTTTATCGCGCGTGCTTATACGAGACCAATTATGCTGCAATGGTGCTTTTAAACCACACAAACCTATGGAAAACGCAATACGAGCCAGCCACGATGTGGTAACCTACCGACCGTCAATAAAATCACTAGAGTCGTAAAAACAATGGCTCAACAAAAGCAAAATCTCAAATACTTTATGCTTCGATTGCAATACCCCATTGCATTGAACCGGGATGAGCTTTAAGGGGTACTTCAGTTTAACATTCTGGTCTCAGAATTCAATCAGTGATATACCTAAACATAAAATCAAAATCATTTTAAGACATATCATTATCTACTGTAATTACGCCTGAACTTAACATGCACGTTTCATTTTGGTTGGAATGGCTTAATAATTATATTTTTATATTGTAGATGAATTATTTTCATACCCTTCAACTCATCAGCAAACTGCCAGCTTTTCATGCCCAACTTGTTCCTACTTTCTGTTAAAAGTAGAAAAAAATTGCTGATTCGTAGTGGCATGCTGAATAATTTGTGTCAATATTGTTAAAGGGTTTTTCTGTCAAATGTCTATATCGAATTCTTCTGGAAGATAAGAAGTTGAACTTTTTTTTCGTTTGGGGAAAGGGGGGGGGGGGGGGGTTAAGACTCGGAGTCCTACAGGTCCAGATGGTTTCCATTAATTTCATATACATAGTTGAGGCGTGTCAAATTTCTTATTTGCTTTTGCCCATAAAAGTCCAAACACCTTTTTCTTCTTTTTTTTTTTTCATTTAGGCTTGAAGATTAATGGTCAGAACGTTACATTAGGTTGTATAATTGACAGGCCTTTCCCCCCTTGACGTTCTTTTGTAAGGTCAATACCTTACTAAGCACCCCCCCCCCCTCGTCTGGTCATATAAGATTGTTTCTCTTGTTTCATTACAACCTTTTAAACACGCTCATTTTTATTTTCATTGCTGATTTATATTAAAAGAACAGTTGTTTAACTAGCATGCTCCTAATACACTATGAAAATTGCTCTATGCTACTTTTTTTTGAACTATTGTAATCAAAAAGTGATTTTAATTTTAAAAAAAAAAAACGTTAACAGCGCTATATGCTATGCACCTTCAAGATGCTGCTGTGATTGACACAAAGTAATAGAGCTGATAGCACAAAATGTGCCGGGTAAACAACTTCGTCCCTCCCCGCAGTTACGCACGTCTGCCAACAGCAGGTTAGCTAAACGTCTTACACAATTAAGCCGAAAGGCGTCACGCCACGATTATGCCAGCCTTTGTTGACGTCGGGAAGCCGCCTGTCAATCGACGGTGCCTGAGCCTCGGAACCGATTATCTGCAACTAATGAGAAAATACTGGGACACTTGTTGCCGGTGACTGCTAGGGCGACAGATTATCTTAGCGAACATTTTGTTGCTGTTCTTGTCACTGTTGCTGTTGTTGTTTTCCCCTTGTGATCAAATGTTTACTACCGCAATTTTTTCTCTTTTGTTGTTTTTTGTTCGAAGTATGCAGAATTTAAGACTGGGACTTGTTCTAACCGAACTAGTCTATATTTATAATACAAACTTAAAAACAAAAAAAAAAATATATATATATATATAGCGCGCACATATTTGAAATTTTTAACCTTCGTTACACTAACCGGATGTAATTTAAGAATGTGCAGGTATTGGCCTTTTTACAACCGCATTGCTTTTGTCGTCTCTTCCTTGTACATAATGTGTGGCTAAGGTACTTTTTATCGAACCATATTAGACTTTAGTAATGCGAGCTTAACAAATAATGGTGTAAAAATGACCCTATCTTTCTGACCTGAATATAGTATATGGATTTAATCATTAAGCTTTGGACGACTACCGCATTAGTTATGTCGATTTTTATTTATACTGTTACACAATGGGGACAGAATGCATCTCTTGTGATGCCTTTTGTTGGGGAGATCGGTGGCCGAGTGGACTAGCGCACACCAGCTCGGAGCACGCGTGGATCGAAACCTCGCGCGGCAGTACCCAGGGATCCTGGGTTCAATCCCCAACCTGCCGGTTTCGATCTGGATGAGCATCGTTCCGGCGTGCGGTCGTGTATCACTACTGCGTGGTGCACGTTAAAGACCAGTATCTAGCGGTTGTACCGCACTAAACTTTGCTCACCTACAGCTGAGAGAGAAGGCACCCGTTGAGGCAGACTAAGTTCAGGCTGTGTAAACTTACACACACCAATTTTGTTTTTGTGCCTCTTGCCTACATACATTTTAGCATAAAGCATTTATAAAGAGAGGATCAGTGCTGAACAAAAAGAGCAGTTGTCGACGAGAAACATCATATGAGACCATTAATCTCGTGCGAGAATAATTTTTTATTCAACCGGTGGATGTACTGACGCGACTGTACAGGTTTTTTCAAACTTTGTTCTTTAGTTTCCTGGAATTTGTGCAGCAGATTCGGTTTCAGTCACCCGAGGCACCCTTTCCGTTTTCCTCTGGTGACGCCTTTTGCTGATACAGTTATATTTAAGCCCCTAATTGGGAGAACCCGACACGCAAAATTTAATGACAGCAAAAAAAAAAAAAAAAGTTGCATGCACCTAATATTTTAAAAAGTTGATTGCATGTAATTTCGCTCGCTATAATCTTTTAAGATTTGCTGATGTACTATATATGAACGCCCTTAACTATATTCTGCTCCATAATCCGGTTCACCTCACTTCCGGGCACAGCTCGGAAGTCAGGTGAT